AAACAATCCAGCCCTAGAGTATTTTTAAAGTAATTCTTGGAAAATATTTTTAATTTCTTTCATGATTTTATTCAGGTATTTATTTCATGAGTTAATGATGATCACTCATATTCTCCTTAAAAATTATCTTGCCATGGTTTTCAAGTTCTTACCTTAAACATGTGTAGCTTCTTCTTTAAATTATTAATTTTTTCTCAATAGCTGATGCAATAACCCCTTTCTTACATTACTTGTCTGTTCTCATTTTTGTTTTGTTGTTACTGTTCACCAGATATTCCACATATTTGTCAGATTTTGTTTTTTCCAAAAGACAAATTCTTGGACTTCTAATTAATTTTATTTTGAATTTGCTTTCTAATAAATTTACTTTGCATGTGTATTTATCAGTATAATTTTATCTCTATGTTTCCTAGGTATGGTTGTGAGATATTTTCTTACCTTTTTAATGAATCACTTAATTCTTATATTTCTTCTTTTTTAATAATGAAAATGTATCATGCTACACATTTTATTCAGAGTGTGTTAGTCACATCTGGTAAGTTTTGAGACATACTGGTCTTCTTTATATTACTCTAAGACAATGTGTGCTGTAGTCTGGGCTTTCCTGAATGCAAGCCCTCAACAAGTATTTGGTATGGAAGGCTATCTGAGGAACTGCCCTGGTGGCCCAGTGGTTAGGGCCTCACCTTCCAATGCAGGGGCTGTGGGTTCAATCCCTAGTTGGTTAGCTGAGCACCCACATGCCTCAAGGCCCAAAACACAAAACATAAAACAGAAGCAGTATTGTAACAAATTCAATAAAGACTTTAAAAATGGTCCACATTAAAAAAAAAAAAAGTTATCTAAAATGTGGTGCTAGAAGCATACATGAGAAAGTGAAGATAGCAATATTGGGCAGGAGGAAAAAAAATTAAGGATGAATTCATTAGTGATTTAAGGCTACTAGAGAGAGTAGAGCTCCATCTCTGAGAAGATACGTATAACATGCCTTAGAAATGTCCCACTGAGGGCCTGTGTCCACAGACTCTCCTGGGGTATCAAATCCGCAGGCCGCCATGCCTGTGAACTAAGACACTGGAGAAATCCTTCAAGCAGAAAAACGTAAAGCCACAGCAGTTCAAGGTAAGGAGCTATCCCTGCTCGTGGACACTGTGTGCTTCTGCTGCAAGTGAACCTTGGAAAGGACTGAGGGCTAAGGGTAAGCACACGTGGTAGCTGCTACCATGTGTAATTAGAGACGTGTTTCCAGTTTGTTTACAAATGTCTTCCCCCTTGTTGGGGAGATCTTAATTTTTGTTGGATCTTAATTTTTTTAATGCGTATCCCTATGCTTTTAGATGTCACTACAAATACTCATTGCACATTTAAATATGTATTCTCAGTTGTAATATGTAAGGCTTTCTTTAAATGAAAATGTTGCACAGTAATTTTGCGTGCTTTGTCCCCAACATTTCACAGAACCCACTAAAATTTGGTTTTGTGTTTTTGGGGGTTGGCCCTCCATATGTGTTGAAACAATCATAAAATTATCAACTCAGGCCACTTTAAGAAAAAAGTCACACAAGCGATATGCAGCAATGACGATGGCAATGAAGAGGTAAGTTGGATTTTCCTTTTTTTAGTCAATCATTTGTCGATGTGAACCTTAATTCTCTCTTCACACATGAAGTCTTTATTTGCATTGAGGTTCATGGCCGTGTCTGTTAAAATTTGTAGAGTGCGGTATTTTATTACGACGATCGTTGTAAAATAGATTGTTAATACCTTGCCTCAAAAATCTGTCAGAGGTATTTTAGGTATCACTGCGCCACTAACTCAAGCTGTTCATAGAGAATGAAAGTCATCAGAATTGAGGGGAAAAGTAGGAAAGAAAATAAGCACCATTTTCCCAAAGTGCAGGAGCTCATGAAAACTTGTCTAGGCTAATCATCAGGAGTGTAAAATTTTTATTTCTCAGTTTAATAAGCACCACCTGTGTTTATAAAAAGTCCCTGATGCCTTGTTGTTTTGTCTCTTGCAAAGAATATAAAGTGCTCTGAGAATGGATGCCAGAGAGAACACATATTATTAATATACTTTAAATCTTCCCATATGACGAATGTAACCTTCATTATCCCCTTCTTGCTCCCCACTACACACTTTCTTCTTTAATTTTTTTATTGAAATGATATAAAACAAAAATCATTGACTGCATATAAATCAATTGTCTGTGACATGTTACAGGAGAATAGAAAACATCAAGATTGCCAATAACAGTCACTCAGTCTCATAAAACTTGTAATCAACTTCTAAGCCAAGGCATAAATTGTAATATATTGCCACAAACGTAAAAGAATAACAAACTATTCAAACTGCACCTTCACATTCTCTGTCGTTAATAACAAATAAGCATGAAAAAGTTTTGACACTCGTTCATTTTAATGGGTGTCTGCTTGTTTATCTGATGTGTCATCTGGCACCCCAGAACACGTGCTCATCCTTGGAAGGGGTTGAGCAGAGAGGCTGCCCAGGCTTTGGAGGAGAACTCCAGCCGCAGGAAAATGCTCAGAGTAACTCATTTTCTATCTCAGCTCAAACAGAGAGTGTACCCAGTCTTTCTCTGGCCCTAAGGGAATACAAAAAAAGCAAGCCCTCAATCCGATCTCTATTATCTGGACTCCTCCAGACATCTATTGCTGCATAAAATCACCGCACCGCAGTGATTTAAGACAAGAAACATCATTTATTTGGCTTATAAATCTGGGGGCCAACTGGGCAGCTAGGCCCTTCTCACTGGCGGTCTCTCATACGCTTGCAGCCCATCTGTGACTGGAGCTGAGATCTGACTGAAGTCATCGTGAAAGCTTTTGACTCAAGCTGAATGCCTGAGCTGGGGAGAGTCAAACTGCTGGGTGCTGGAACAGCTGGGCTCTTAAGGCACCTCTCCTCCCCCACTTCCTCTCCCTTACCCCCCTCCTACCTCCACATCCCTCCTTCCTTCCCCACTTTCCCTCTCATCTCACCTGGAGACTGATGATGGCTCAGAGACAGAGCAGGTGAGAAGTGGATCACCTCTGAGCAGCGGTCCCCAAGCTTTTTGGCACCAGGGACCAGTTTCGTGAAAGACAGTTTTCCCACAGAGTGGGGTGAGAGGTATGGTTTCAGGATGATTCAAACGCATCACATTTATTGTGCATTTTATTTCTATTATTATTACTGCAGCAGCTCCACCTCGGGCCATTGGGCATCCGATCCCAGAGGGTGGGGACGCCTGCCTTTGAGAACCTCATCAATCACACTCCTGCCTCCTCCACCTGGGGAGACGGTCGCCTAGGCACAGGTTCAGGTGGAAAGGAGGAAACAGACTGCACTTCTTGATCAGGAGTCGACAAGGTTCTGAGAGGTTTCCATGCAGGGTGGGAAATGGTCTTGTAGATACCTGCGCAAACTGCCACCTGCCCCTCGACTTGCGTGGCACAATTAGACACACACTCACACACAAAGTGCCCAGGTTCACACACAGTAAACAGGATTCATGATGCAGCTAGCGCCGTGAGGCTCTTCATGGAATGTTTCCTAAACACTCTTCCAAAAGCGCTCATCGCTTTTCCAACCCTGCACAGTCTGGTGGGTGACTGTTAGACAAATAAAACTCAGCAAATTAGAGGGGGACTTCTTAGCACCTTTCATAGACAAAGAGGCAGAAAGAATCTCACAGGCTCTGTTCCTCAAAATGTGGTTCCTGGATCAGCAGAACCGCATCTGTCAGGCACTGGTTAGAGATGCAGAATCTTGGGTCCCACGGCAGCTTTAGTACCTGCATCTTCTCAGGATGCCCAGGTCACCCCTGTGCAAAGAAACTCGGAGGAGCACTGACTCGTGAGACCGTGCAGTGTTTCACAACCAAAGCCGTCCACAGAGCCCTATTGTAACCCTGATCACTTCCTGGGATTCCTGGGAATTCATTTTGGGATTGTCAGAACTCATGCTCAGGGAACTGTAGCCTCTGTCAGGCTTAAAGAAACAGGTCACCGGCCCACCTTCCTCAGGCTTCTTGCAAGAGAACTTGATGGAAACAGATAACCAACAGAGGCCTACTGTATAGTACTGGGAGCTATAGTCAATATTGTGTAACAATCTATAAGGGAAAAGAAACTGAATAGGAAAATACATAATTACTTATATACACATATGTATAACTGAATTACTGTGCTTTGCACCTGAAACAAACATAGTATTGTTAAAAAAAAAACTTAAATAAATAAATTTTTAATTTAAAAGTTTTTAAATTTAAAAACTAATTTAATTTTAATTTAATAAAATGAATAAAACTTTTAATAAAAAATTTTAAAGTTCCTTAAAAACCAAAGAGAACTTGATGGCTCTGAGAACCACAGACCAGAGTGGTGGCAAGAGGGGTGCCTGCCTGCAACCGCCCCGTGTTCCTCTAATTCTTCCTCCCCCCACAGTCCACTGGGGCTTGAGAAAGTGGGGTTTCTCCTCCCTCCCGCCCTGGCTGGAACGCCCCCACACCACCGTCTGACTCCTAACTTTGCTCCCCTCTCCGCTATATCCTGGCGGACCGGTCATACGGCAGGGAGTCAGCCAAAACCTGCAGGAGCGAAGAATAAACAAGCGAACGTCAGCAGAAAGGGAACCGAGGAGGAAGCCAGCTTCCAAATTAGGAGGACATGGGCGGGGCGAGCGGCCCGCATCGGCTCCTCGCCGTGTGTAGCTGTGCTGTCCACCCAGCGAGACAAGCTTCCGGGGGACCAGACCTGAACTCCCGCGGGTGGGAGCTCCTACGGCAGCCAGTCCCATGGGGGACCTGTGGTCAGCTGCTCACCCACTCACTCTAGGTCACGGACACTCTGGCAGCCTTCCTTAATCTCTGGACCCTTCTACACCTGCTCTCAGCCCAGAGGCACTAAGACTGCTCTGTTTATTGTGAAGGAGGAGGAGGGAGGAAGGGGAGGAGCTGGAGGTCGGGAGGCTGAGGAGTCTGGGGCTTCCCTCTCCAGCGATCTCCCGGATCCAGGGCTTGAACCCGAGCCTCCTGTGTCTCCTGCACTGCCAGCAGACGCTTTCCCAGCGAGCCAGCGGGGGAGCCCAAGGGAAAATGAACGACCCTGGGACCCGCTGTAGCACCGAGGCTTTGTCAGGGGGCCCCGGGACGGGGCTGCAGGTGGGGGAGGCCCACACGACATGTGGGCAAGGCTCAGAAGGGGAAGACGACGAGGGACCCCCGGGAAGAAGAGGGCCTCGGTGTCTGGGTGATGGCACCCAGCTGCACAGGGTGAGTCTGGGTCCGAGAGCTCAGAGGGCATCACCGATTAGGGTCGAATCACTGCAGTAGGTACCAGCTGTTGGGTGAGGTTTCCCAAGGTAGGCAGAGCAGGTGGTCTCTACATGGCTAAAATTCTGCTAGTTCAGGGGGCGTCCCTGCTGGGTCAGTGGCTAGGATCCCACCTCTAATGCAGGGTGTACAGGTGACCCCTGATCAGGGAGCTAGGATCCCCAGTCTCCTGGCCAAAACACCTGAACATAAACAACAGAAGCAACAGTGTAACAAATTCAATAAAGACTTTAAAGCAATACTGGAGAACAAGTGTCTTCTAATCACTGTATTTTGCTCTGTACTTCTCAATATTGTACAATTATCATCTTTGACAATTATTTTAAAAATTCAATAAAGACTCTAAAACCATTCCAGGTGATTTTTTTAAATAACTGGCATGTAAAAATTTGAGTTTGGTATTGATTGGCTTTTGAGCTAACAGGCCCCAGCCTACCGAAAAGAAATAAAGAATGTAAGGGTCAATACACAGAGGCCATCTAGGGCTCATTCACACCAGGCAAGGAGGCAGTCTAACTGCAGAGCATCCCCTGTGAAGTGGAGGAAGCAGAGCAGGTGGAAGTGGCTGAGTGGCGTTTCTCAGAAGCCGGAGTTGGCCAATTACACCCGACCACGCCAGCTGGGCTCACCTGGACCACCCTGCGCAATGATTCAAGGGTCACTGGCGGTAGTCATTTAGTCACTCAGTCGTGTCTGATCCTTGTGACCCCATGGACTGCAGCCCACCAAGCTCCTCTGTCCAAGGAACTCTCCAGACAAGAATACTGGAGTGGGTTGCCATACCCTTCTTCCCAACCCAGGGACTGAACCCACATCTCCTGCATTACCGGCAGATTCTTTACCATCCAAGCCATCAGGGAATCCATCAAATCATCAAGAAACACAAATTGTTCCCATTTTTAAATTCTTTGGAAATGGCAGGAACACACCAAATTCCATCAACATGCCGATGCCCCGCCCCTTCTGAGTCTTCTGCATTTGCTTTATCCTTGATTGTAACGTCTGATGTGTGAGCCAGAGTCTCTCTTGCTTCTGCAGACAGTATAGACAAGGAAATGTGCACGGCAACAATGGTCCTACTGGCTGGGTTTTGGTTATGCATTTTTTTTCAATATGGAAATCACTCTAGTGGGGTTTGTGTTTTATGTAGAAAAAAAAAAAAGGCAGTGTCATTAGTCGAGCTCTCAGACTGCATAACCCTTCTCACAACAGGCTCAGTCACCAGGAACCACATAGATTGGAAAATGAAACACATTACCACACACCCGTGAAAGGCATCTTTGCAAAAGTGTTGGAAGTGGGGGCTCCGGGGGCGAGGGGTTGGTCCGGGGAGGGGGTCCAAGGCGGGGTAGTCTGGAGGGGGTGCGGTCCAGAGGCTGCAGCATCTCAATCAGTCAGCCTCAAACACAGGGTTAGATACCATCAGACCAATGTCACCCATGCTAACAGCCAGCAGCTCTGAAGTTCAACTGTTTTCTAAATACATTAAACTTGCCATGAGAAAGTCAACTCTAGGCAGGATTGGCGGGGGGGGTGAAGATTGGGGAGGGAGGAATTAAGAATTGGAAAATAAGAATTTTAGAATGTTCTTGTCTCTGTCCACAGAACAGAAGGAAGGGCCTTTCTCACCCAAGTAACCCATGCACTTCGAGAAAGGTGAAGCCTTTTGTGTCAGAAGAAAAACAAACCAATTTTTATACTCAAGAATCCAATGGCTACAATCGCTGTTTTCAACCTGGTGGTTTGTTGAAACTGTAGGGACCATTAGAGATTTCCTGCAAGGCAGATGAAGTGGATTTGGCTTTGCTCTTATGATCCATAATAGCTACACTGCAAGAATAGCAATTCCCCTCCCATATCGAGCTCTGCTAAGTGAGGAGATAACATGAAGGAAGTTACATGAACTTGGGAATTGTATAAATGAGTTCTTTAGGCAAAACTCCCAATTTTTCAGTTCATGAGGGTTGAATACAATAACAAACTCATTTACAAACATCAGGCATTTGGATCCAAGGTGACCTGTTACTGTCTCTGCTCAGAAATACCTATTGTTGCAAAGAAATTCTCCTGACGTTGAGAACAATTAATCCTACCTATGAACTTGAAAAACCTATGGGGGCGGGGGGGGGGGGGATGTCTTTTTTTTTTCCTTTGAGGAAAACAAGTTACAATTTGGAAAAGAAAAATGAAGGATGTTAAGGCTAATGGTTAAGACACGCCAGTGCCATCCATCTACTTCCAAGGCAGGACCCTGACTTACTAAGCCATCCAAGATGCTACTTCACTGCACTGCATCCAGGCTCCCTCCCAATGCCCTCCAGAGGTACCAAGCAGGAGCATCTCTTCAAGGTGAGACCCTGGATCACTTGCACCAAAGCTTTTATACCCAAGGGATTTGGCAGATGCTTATTTGTAGCAAGGGTTGAAAATTTTTTTCCTATTTATGCCCTTGTCAGATAAATAATCATACCACTAAAGGCTCGGGGAATTTCTGATTTTACAGAAATATGGACCACAACACAAAAATGCCACACCCATCTAAAAACAACACCATCATTTACTATCCACGTAAAATTACTATCCACGTAAAACCTTCTCGGGAAAGCAAGGAGAAAGTGGCAGACATAAGTCAAAGATGCTCAGCTGTTTCAGCCTCCTCTGGCTCCCCCGCCCCGAGCCCTGGCTCACCATCCCACTAGCCCCTCTATGGGAGCCAGCCTCTGAGCGTGTGCGTTTGTTAGGCAGGTGTGTTTTCTACACCTGCCTCAGTGTGAAGTCAGCCCACTTCTGGCCCCGAGGAGAAATTCCCTTTCATTGTAGCAAGATAATGTTTTAAAAAGCTGACTTTTAAACCTCTTCCTGAATTTTTTAATGGATTAAATTCATCATGTCACCAGCTGCTGTGCAGCTAATAGAGCCATAAAACACTGTATTAAAGGATTACCCATGCAAAATTTCCTCTTGCGCTAATGTGAATTTTAATACTTTTAACATTTAGTTGAGATGGGAATGTCCAAGAACAGCTTGTTCAATAGGTTGTTCTATAAAATTAAGTTCCTCGTCTCATCAGAAATGCCAGGACTCCATTAAGTTAAAATTTTACAGAGAGGCTAAGATGATTCACTGTGCAGCATTTGTAAGAAAGGCGGCAGCAGCTGCGTCGACATTATTGCTCTTTCAAAAAAGAAAAAAGAGAGAAAAAAAGAAGAAAGCAAACCAGCCACGGATCCCATACATACATGGAGACTGGGCTGAACAGAGGAAAATGCTCACTTCGGGTTCACGGCAGATCAATTTGCACAGCCTCAGAATCAGTCATTAGGAACACCTGAGCTTCTGTTCCTCTTGAATGTCATTTGTCAGAAGGTCAGAAAGTCTGAAAATATACAAAGGGGTGATTATCAAAATTACATAGATATCGTATTTTGAGTAACAAAAATGTGATTACGTGTATCTTGAGGAACCCCTGAAAGAGGAAATGGCAACCCGCTCCAGTATTCTTGCTGCGAAATCCCACGGACAGAGGAGCCTGGTGGGCTAGAGTCCACGGGGTCGCAAAGAGTCAGACAGGACTGAGACGACAGAGAATGCACACATGATGATAAAAGAGAAAATGGAGAGTAAGTATAGCTGACGGAGGGTAAAAGAAACACCAGAAAGAATGGATGGACGCTGGAAGCTAACCGATCAACGTCTCCTTCTCTAGGGGGCAGTTCTGAGTCCCTAAGAGTCCCCACCTTCCTCAGGCCGCAGAGGTGATAAAAGCAGAATGGAGAATAAACCCCAAGTCTCCTTTCTTGCCTAGAAAATTCCATGGGCAGAGGAGTCTGGCAGACCAGAATCCATGGGATCACAAAGAGTCAGACACAACTGAACTACTGCACACAGACAGCACACACTCCTACAGCCAGACACAGAGACTCATGTCTCCCTTGAAAGTGAAAATGTTAGTCACACAGCCATGTCTGACTCTTTGCAACCTCTTTGTAGCCGTCAAGGTTCCTCTGTCCATGGAATTCTCCAAGCAAGAATAGTGGAGTTGGTAGCCATTCCCTTCTCCAGGGGATCTTCCTGACCCAAGGATTGAGCCTGGGTCTCCTGCATTGCCGGCAGCATCTTGAAATATGAACATATTAGGTCTGTCTATATGGGATGGCTTACATGTTAAACGACAGCAAAGAATCAATAAGTCAACCATCTTTCCTCCTGTGAAAGCTTTAGAAGGTAACAAAGCTTTATGGGTCACACACCATTTCCACGATATCTCTAAATTAGACCCCCTTCTGAATATTTCATTTGAAATTTTCTCTTCCCGATTATGCCTCCTTACCCTCCTTTCATGAATGACTTCAAAGCCCAATTGTAGCTGTTACTAAGCATCTCAAACAAGTCAGCATTTCAATCTTTGCTACAGAAACTGTATCATAAATGAGTTGGGTGAAAACATTCACACTTTTTCTTTAATGTTGTTCAATAAACTGGTCTAGGTGGAACCATCCGCAGAGCTCCAAATTTGCGTCACAATTAAAGCGGACGTTAGAATGTGGACTGTGCCCGATTTGAAAATACAACCCAAGGATGATCAGTATTAATGGAAATTCTCCAAAGCCAGTATGCTTTACCCCAGCTGAATTCTGTCCACGGCCCCATATTCTGTACTCTGTATGTATTACTGTTCTGAGAGCCTGTCATTTCTTATCAGAATGAGAAAGGCTAAAGAGATAATATTTCAATAACATACTGGCCTGATCATAAAATAACTCAATGGAAATGTGTAGCTGCCTCAGGCAGCTCGGCAGGGTACTCAGCAGTTAGATGATTTCTATTCTGGGTTTTTTTTTTTTTTTTTTATGGTTACATTTTCTGTTATATCAGACATCCCCTCAAGTCTTAGTTATGCTTTTATTCAAAAGGGAGAACCACAGTATAAAGACCTACAAAACTTATTATGATATATTACTAGAAAGAAATGAAAGTAGCTGCCATGGTAGCATATTGATAAGGACAGGACTGCCGCATTCACCGACCTTTTTTCATCTCACCCACCAGGGCTGAGGCCAGAGTTTCTTGGTTGCTAGGCAACGGGGGTCACAGTTCTCAGGTCTTAAATGCACAACCTAGTCAAAAAGCAGATGATGTGATCTTCAAAAGGAAAGCAGATGTCTGGCAGGAGTAAGAATTTTAATAGGTACAGGGGTTTTTAAATTCATTTTCATCATGCTAAAGGCTGAAATGGAGAAACTTTAACTTGTCAAAAGATTGTGGGAGCAGGTTTTTAAGTGCTGGTGATGAGAATCATTTGCTGAAATGATATGAAGAGAATACAGTCAAGCTTCTTTTTGAGAAACACATGGACACATGGCTTAGGATTTTAGCTGCCAGTGGAACAACTGATCAAACTCTCACTCCAAACACAGGGACACACACAAACAGGGGTATGTGATCACAAACACGGGTGATCTTGAGAGATGAACATGGGGGCTGATTTGGCGGTGAGGGTTTTCTGTTTCTGGTTTTCTTGTTTTTAACATTTTTTCACAAACGGAACCACACCCTTCTTTACTTGATGACAATACTGCAGGCAGCATGACAGCCGCTAAAGGTCAACCGCAAGAAAGCTCATTCCCAAATCCTTTCCCTCCTGCCAAGTCAACACCTGCTTTAAACTTTAATAAAGAGCATCAGAGAAAACTGATCTCTCAAGCGGGAAGAAACGCTTGGCCGTACAGAATTGCATTTGACTGTATATCCCACCGGTATGATTTTCCACCCCCCTCCCACCAGTATGCTTTAACTTTACTCATATTACCCTAATAACATTTCAGTAATGGCAGCTTTTTAAAGAAGAAATTCAGTAGATTTAAGTGTCAAAAATAAGTAAGAGAATTTTGAATTTCCTGTTTCAAAATTTGTTTGAATATCTTAACTGAAGATTGAGGCAAAGAGCAGCTATTTTTACTTTACTTTGTCAATACCCACTCTGTTAGTATCATAATATCTTGTGGAATAGGAATGACAGCTAATTCCTAAAGTTTCATTTTGCTCAATGTGATGTTTTAGGGGAGAGAAGGATAAAAACATATGTGTTTGTGTGTCTGTGCATGTCTGTTTGTGTGTGTCTGTGTATTTGTGTGTCTGTATGTGTGTGTGTGTGTGTGTTGGGAGAAAAGCAACTAATTATGAATTATAGGTGGATAATGTGGAATCCAGAATTTCAAAAGACAGATGTAAGGGTTTACAGGCTTCTGTCACTCTGGGCCATATCTGAGTTCCCGTAGATCCCGCCTGATTTCAACCCGGGCGATAGGTAGACATCCTGGCTCATATAAATAGCAGTGAGATAGCCAGAAGGCAGGTCACACGCCTGGAGACTGAGGCTGTCAGATAACTCTAATGATTTCTCTGGCCCTTCAGGGTGAAAAATTTACTTCATACTTTTTTTGTCTCATATTTGCCATTTTCCTTTCCCTGAAGATAACTGTCATTTTTAGAAATGTCTGCTGCCTTTCCTGAGTTGTCAGCATCGAAAGAACATGAAATGAAGCGGCTGGAGAAGAGACAGACAATCCGGCCCAGCTGGGGTGCAGGCGTTCGCCCCATGCTCGCCTGTTGCTAAGTGCGCCCCTCAGAGCTGTTTTCCTCCATGTTCTTGCTGATCTACAGAGCCTGCCTTTTGTTAAACCTTTGTCACCAATTCCAGAAACTCATGGGTCAGGGGGTGGGAGTGGGAAGAAAGAGCCTCCCCCAGAGCAGCCTCCTAGGATCAGAAAGACCATCTCTGCTGGGTCTTCTGAGCCAGTGTGGAGAGGGGACAGGATCCTGTCCATAAACAGTAGGTGCCCAACAGGAAGAGTTTAGCAACTTTCAATGTAACTGGATGGTGTAGTTCTATGCCTGTCAAATCTAACAAAAGATATTCAAATGCTATCTTATATGTTTTCTTCTATTGCAATTTTAAAAATATATTTTATAAAAGTATGAATCCACAATGGATTGGGGGGAAAAAAAAAACTGGTCCTTGAGCAGTACTGTCCCTAGCTGATGTCATTATACCCAGCTAGCCATCATCCTGGCAAAACAGTCCCAAATTCAACCTCTGTGCTGAGCTCTTTATAGCGGGTGAGGCAAGGAGCCCACCGAGGGTTCTAGCAGGACCGTTTTGCCCAAAATCTCTTTGCTTTTGCCACAAGGCTTGCTGTTGATTACTCTGAGCTAAGTCTTCCTTCTCTAAGTATCTAAGAAGCCAATGGACGCAGACATGGATACCTGAAAGGATTCACTGTCAGACCTACTCCCTCCGAGAGCAGAGGGCAGATTCTGAGCACTGTTGCAAGATGAAAACATTTTTAAAAATTGAGCTGAGAGTGAAGTTTAGTAGAGAATCCAGGAAGCTTGGTACTGAAAGGGGTCTTGATGGGTCTGCACCTCTGCCCAGCTTTGACCTCAGTCTCCCAGCTGCTTTCTGGGAGGGGCGCTCCTGTGGTCCCCTCTGTCTCCCTGTGAGTGGTCAGGAGTGAGAGGGATCTTCGTTGAAATCTTCTTGCTTGGACTGCCCTGGTGGCCTACTGATTAAGAATCTCTGCTTCCAGTGCAAGTCCATCCCTGGCCAGGGAACTACGATCCCACACACCAGGCAATACAGCAAAAAAGAAAAAAAAAAAACCTTTCTTATTCTGACCCAACCGGCCAGAATCCCCTTCAGGGGACAGCTGGGTGTGCCCCTGACTGGAAGATTAGCTCTCAGACCCGTTCCCCACCTCCCCTGCTCTGCTCCACCCGACAGAGGATGGCTTCCAGACCTCCATGGTCCCCTCATTCCTCCTCAGGTTGGTTCAGTGGGAGACGCTGGTTTAAGACGGAACTGAGCTTCTGGACTCGACTCCCATCCGGGTTCTCCTCTCTCAGCTCGGCTCTTGTGGAAACCACAGTCAGTACCTTCCCCGGAGGGCTCATCACCACCCAGTCAACACAGCCTCAAGAAGCAAACACGGTCAGCTTTCCTAGCCCCACTCCTGGCGCCAGAGAAAGAGGCAGGCTGGCCGCCGGAACAGGGCGCTCGGGATATTTCTGAAGAGCGGAAGGGACCACCGGAAGGGACCACCGGAAGACGCCCTACACGTGGGCGGGTCTGCTTCCGGGGCAGGGACAGCAGGTCCCACCGCGACCCGCACAGCCGGAGAGTGCGGAGTCCGCCATGAGGATGGAGCCCACGGCAGGGGCCGAAGCACCCCCACCGTGGTTCCCAAAGCACCCCCAAAGAACCCCCAAAGAACCAGCTTGTAGAATCTGATAACATCACCTTTCTCTGAGTCCTTTCAGCCCAGTCTTCCTGCTGCTAATCTCTGAGTGCCTGGCCTGTCTGTACCCTCAACTCTGTCATTACCTGTGGGACCCACCCCCTATGTTGCATTCCCTCTATTTGAATTGCCCAAAGGGATCGTTATTGTCTTGATCTGATATCAGGGCTTGACACCCTTACGGGGAAGAGACCCGGCCCGTATGGGAAGCCATGTACCATCCAGCAGAGCTTGAGCGGAAAGATCTCTGATGGAGACCAGAGCGCGCAGGGTACACAGGTCCTAATGATGACCACAAGCTTCTCACTGGGCCAGGAGCTCCCTGGGCATAAGGACCTTGTCTGTTCATCCTGACTCCCCAGGATCTACTGCTGGGCTAACTCATGACCGGCACACAAAGAAAACTACTTCAGTATTTTTAAATGAAGGGTAAGGGAACTTTTATTTAAATCTTTTTAAATGCAGGGAGAATTAACATGTTCATTTTATGCTGTACAAAAGGAAGATTAGAGGGTTTCGTGTAATGTTTGTAAGCCACAGGAATCCCTGGTCACACTGTTTTATTGACCAATAATTGGCCCATCCTTTTAGAGATGCAGTGAGCCTAAAGGAACTTAATTTTCCAATTAAAAATTTAAAAGTCAATTTGATTTGCCTTCAAAAAAAGCACAAAATTGTTTTGGTAGAATTCCTTTCTGAAACTCAAATTTAGCTAGTCAAATTCTACCCAGGCAAAGCACACTAACTCCAGGGAGGTGAATTATCACATCATAAAACCCCTGTTTTTTAGTGGGACTCCAGCTGTTTGAAGTGCTAAATACCTATGTCTCCTTCAAAGAAAACTTGTTTTGACATTTACTTCTTAGGAGAAAGGCAAGAGCTAGCAGAGGCAGGGCTGGCAAATTGGGATAGCGTGGAGATTGTCCTGGTTACCTGCTTCCCTTTCTGAGCCCCCCACCCCACCCCTCCCCGGTCTTTCCCCACCTCCCCCAGCAGAGCAGGCACTTCGTTTTCACTCAGATACAGATGACTGGTGATAGCTTAGAAATCTGTCCCTCTCTAGTCCAGAACAGGTGTATTCTTACAGTCACAAGTTACATCAGCGTTTCTAAACTGTAGCAAACGTTGGGATCGCCCAGAAGAATTACAGCACAGATTTCTAGGTACCACTCGAGATTCTCATCAGGTAGTTTTGGATGAGGCCCTGCCATCTTGAATGAAGTTCAATGGGAGAACAGATTATTAATAATAACCATGTCACAAGGATACTTTAAGGATTAAATATTATCATGCAGCTGAAGTCCCCAGCACATACATATTATGTAATTTGTTGTTGTTTGGTTACTCAGTCGTGTCCAACTCTTTGCAACCCGGTGGACTGTAACCCACCAGGCTCCTCTGTCTATGGGATTCTCCAGGCAAGAAATACTGGAGTGGGCTGACATTTCCTTCTCCAGGAAATGATCTCCAGGGGATCTTCCCAACCCCGGGGTCAAACCTGAGTCTCCTGCTTTGACAGGCGGATTCTTTACCACTGTGCCCCCTAGGAGTCCCATGTTATATAACGGGCACTCAGGAAATGTTCATGTCTTCCTCCCTCCCCTCAACTCCAATTGAGAAGTTTTCTGGGAAAGCCTCATGAAGTCGATGTGGTTTGAGCAAAGTTTAGATTCTCCCAAACTGGGTGTTGCTTTTGTGTTTTCCCTAGCATTTTAAAGAGATAACACCCTGTCAGATGGCCAGGGCACCCAGATAACATTTCCAGATGCTTCCAGACCCAGATGAGTCCATCCTTACAGACCACAAAGCACTGGTTTTCCCCTGCTGATAATCCACCCTCCCACGAAATGGCTCACGTCTCCATGGGATAAAAGGTGAGGGAAAGCCTGCTCAAGTGTAACACTTAGGATCAAACCCTTAAAAATGCTTTTTAGAATTCTGTCAGAGAGATCATGAAAGCAGCTTTGGTCAAATGCACTGTTCAGGGAAAGGCCTTTTTGAACGTTTTATCTTACCGTGATGCTTTTGATCTGCCAGGCACACGTTCTCATTAAAAGCATATTATTTAGCTTAACCTTCGAACACTCCCCTCTTCTCCTGGTAGCCTGGGGCTGGGGGCTGGGGGCCGCAGTTCCGTGGACTGCCTGTATGTCAGAGCATCATGTTACCAAGTCCTGCCAGGTCAGAGCTGCGGAGCTCTGCTGGGGCAGGGCGGCTTCTGGCTCAGACATTTCGAGAGCTCTGCAAGGTGAGCTGGGTAGGCAGCTGCCAATGAAATGACTCCTAATTACTCAGGAATGCTCAGCCGGGGCTGGCTGACACACCGGGCAATCCATCTTCGTGGAAAGACCAGACACCTGGTTTTCAGATCAGATGACTTGCCTGGGTCCGGTGAAATTAATTGTTTTATTTCTCGGTCCTCACACAGTCTTTGGAGAAAAAGTGCAACCTAAATTCTGAAACCAGCCATTGATTTGTGGCTTAGTTTTCCTTACCAGATGGAAGGGGACAGGGGCCTTAACAGAGCAAGGGAGCTATTGATAACACAAATGCAATGTGTCTATACAATCACTCCCAGGATTATAATTATATTTGATGGAGCTTCTTGTTCATGATTCCTTAGGTACCCTCAGGGGGTGGGTAGAAAATAGAGGACAAAACCTGCTCTACTCTGATCAAGAAACACTTTAATGGATAACCAGCAAGGACTTAACGGTAGAGCACAAGGAACTCTGATCAATGTTTTGAGGCAGCCCGCATGGGAGGGGAGTCTGGGGGAGAATGGGTCTATGTATGTATGGCTGAGTCCCTGCACTGTTCAGCTAAAACCATCACAGCATCGTTTGTTAACTGTCTATGCGTGTGTACATGCTAAGTCACTTCAGCCGTGTCCAACTCTGACCCCATGGACTGTAACCCGCCAGGCTCCTCTGTCCATGGGGTTCTCCAGGCAAGAATACTGGAGTGGGTTGCCATGTCCTCCTCCAGGGGATCTTCCCAACCCAAGAATACTGGAGTGGGTAGCCTATCCCTTCTCCAGGGGATCTTCCTGACTTAAGGATCAAACCCAGCAGTCTCCCACATTGCAGGTGAATTCTTTACCAGCTGAGCTAACAGGGAAGCCATAAAAAAAAATACTCATTAAAAAAGAGAGAGAGACCCAAGGTCAGTCCTCTTCCCTGAGCCCAGGTGCAGAGTCCTGGAGGGAACCCAGCACTCTGCCAAGCTTTCTATAAGAGCAAAGGCTCCTTGTGTCTTTTTCATCTGGATGATTTTCTTTCTTTTCCCTTCATTCTCAACCTTCATTTTCCCTCCCTCCCAATTTCCCTCTGCATCCCAGTGTGAAACGCCCATCTTAGAGGAATAGTGATCTATCTGGTCTTTTTTTCAAGAACCACTGGCAACATTTCCAACTCTTGGGTTTTCATAAACTGATGGGTGAACTGCTGATGTGTCTAAGAAGCAGTGTGGAGGAAGTTGTAAGACTCCTAGGATACCTCCAGGTCACTCCCTCTAAAAAATTGTCTTTGTTCACTTGCTCAGTAGTTTCCAACTCTTTTTGACCTCATGGACTGCAGCATGCCAGGCTTCCCTGTCCTTCACCATCTTCCAGAGTTTGCTTAAACTCATGTCCATTGAGTCAGTGATGCCATCCAATGATCTCATCCTCTCTCACCCCCTTCTCCTCCTGCCTTCAATCTTTCCCACCATCAGGGTCTTTTCTAATGAGTCGGCTCTTCCCATCAGGTGGCCAGAGTACTGGAGCTTCAGCTTCAGCATCAGTCCTTCCAGTGAATTTTCATGGGGATTTCCTTTAGGATGGACCAGTTTATGTGATAGTCAAGGAATAAGGGCTCTAAGTTCAGTGCCCCACCCCAGTAGCACCATTGCTCACAGTGACAGAAATCTCTGAAAAAAACTTCACAGTAAATTAAGTACAATTAGCAAAACAAATATCAACACTAGCACAGCCCAGTGAAGAAGTAATCGCTCAGCCTTCATTCTCAGCACCCGTTATGACCTGAACCATTTCTCAAATCAGTGATCTTTTTAAGTGATCATTATCACGAATGCCTTCCTAAATTAGGGAATCCTCATTAAAGGGTACCATAATGATATTAAACTTCAGCCTTTGTCAAGAAGTGGGGGTAATAAAGCTTTCCAAGAAGTGACAGCTCATATTTTTGATCCAAACCATAAAAATAGCTAAGTACTTTCTAATGCTTTGATAAGCTAGACTTTTAAAAATGTTCCTTTAAGAAGCATTTCATAGGATGACAGACATTTAGAGCTGGAAGGGACCTCTGAAAGCGTATAGTTCTACTCTCTCTTATTTAACAAATAAGGAGACTGAGGCCAACTATGTCAAACAATTTGCAAAATGTCTTACAGCTAGTTAGTCACAAAACTCACTTAACATATGTAAATGTACTCGGAAATAAATCTCATTGAGACAGAAGGGAAAAAGGACGTGCAGCTCTCTGCTCTCGCCCTGCCGAGAATGTCCCAGAGAGAATCGCTCAGTCCAGAGAATCGCTCAGTCCATAGAAATGACCAGGACTATGACAGAAATCAACATTCAGAAAATGAAGATGACTCCGGGAGTTGGTGGTGGACAGGGAGGCCTGGCGTGCTGCGGTTCATTGGATCACAAAGAGTCAGACACAACTGAGCGACTGAACTGAACTGATGACATAGAAACCAGAAGATGGCTTCTCTGATCCACAATGACTTTGGACAACGGCTTCTGCTTGGCTGATCGAGGGGTGATACCTGCTTCCAAAGACTGCACCAAAAACTGTGGTGCCCCTCACTAGCGATGTTTAATCATCCTGCTTCGCTCAAAAAAAATGGCAGGAAGGACTTACTATAATATAATAATGAATTATGCCCTTGATGTG